ATTCCTGCTTTCGAATCAGTTTCTGTGATGAATCCTTTCGTCACATTCTTTCATCATTTTTCAACGCACTAATTAAAAATAAAATTGAATCGCACTTCGTGGGTTTTTTATTTTGGAGAAAATGGAACAAATATTACTTTCACATTCATCGAGTGATGTGGAGATATATCCGCACTTCTTGTGGTGATATTCATGTATTATCGTGATGATATTTCAGACATGATGATAGAAAAATTAAAAAAAATTATTTTAGCACAGAGAATATTTTCCCGTGCTATTCTGCTATATTCAGGTATTAATGTAGTGGTATTCATGTATTGTTGTATTATGAAAATATTCCCGGTATTATAATAACACAATATCACATCAATACCACAACAATAACACCTGAATAACCTGAAATAATACGAGAGAAATATTCTCGTCTTACCAGACTGAATTACAAGAAAATGAGTTTTTTTTTTTTTTCTTATCAGCTCTACGTTGAGGTTATTCATTAGATTTTATCCCTACGTCCGATCGGACGGACGGAATAATTTTTCAAGAAAATGGGAGAATTTAGCAAAATAGTTAATATATAAATTTTTTTTATTTTTATTTTTATTTTTCATTAACTAATAAAAATATTAAAATAATATCTATATAATTATTATGAATGGGGATTTGGTGTGACGTGTTTGATTCATACTATGTAACAATGTATAATATAATAATATTGCACGTGGCGTTCGCGAATTCCTAGACCAACTCACGAAGGATTTGGATGCATGGAATGTTATTTATAAAATTTAGGTAATTAAAATATTATATTTAATATATTAGATTAATATTATATATAACAATTTCAAATAAAAAAAATTTAAATATATAACATATAAACTATTGATGTCATATAATAACATTATTATTTTTATTTTTATTATTTTTAAAAAAAGAAATATTTTGGTTTCAGCTTCTTATTTGGGCTTTGGCTGATGCAAAAAAAATTTAAAAATATGTAAATATGATCATCTCTCAATAGACAATACTCCACAAGTAGTGGTGTAAAAGAGCTGAGCTTGATCGGGTTTAGCTTGTTAGAAAGTATTTTTGTTCGTGTTTGGTTTGTATTCGACTAGTTTGCTTAGCGAGCCAAGCTATTCACGAGCAAAGTGTCGTTTTGACAACCCTATTCGCTCATGATGTCTTCTTGAGGGGTGTAAACAAGTCGAGCATGAGCGAGTTCTAACTTGACTTTTAAATATTATCATTGTCTGTGTTTTTATTAGCTAGTGAAAAATGAAATGGTAGTAAAGAAAAAAACTGATAGAATTGTTGCATCTCGCATGAATTTGGGCTTCTTATTTGGGAACGAGTTGTTTTGAACACGAAGTACTTAACAAGTCGAACATTAAGTTGATTACCTAACAATCGGCATTATAGTATTCCTAGTTGATGGGCTTTTTAAGGATCCAGGTTAAAAAACTCATAACCATATAAAAGAAAAACAATGCAATTAAGCAAGATTATGCAGGGTTATGGTGGGCTAGGCAGCCCAAGCCCGTATCCTCCGGGATAGGCCGCTCTTGACGGGCTTATGAAGTCCACTTTCTAATATCCACGCTCAACGCAACAGCTCACTTTACATAAGTATTTATGTAGGATTAATCTTATTACAATTATCTCAAAGTTACGAATTATTCAACATTTTTAATGTATGAGACATAGTTTGGTACAGCTTTTTCATTGCCCCCTAACTCCAGCCATGCCTAAATGTTGAAAAATGTAGCCTTCAAATTGAAATGACGTAGAAACACAATCATTGTGTTACTGAATCACAAATGGGATGAAATTGGGTAAATGAACAATATTTCATTCAAATGCAAAGAATAAAATATATAAAAAACTGTTCAACTTCGTTATAATGGATCGAATAATGACAAGTTTGAATGACTGCAAATCTCGTTAATGGCACCCATTGAAGAAAAATGTGAATTAGTGAATTTAGCTCTCTCTTATGAATTATGAAATGAGCAAATTTTAAATTAAAACACTTCTGGTTTGCTCTAACTAAGGTAGTCAATTTGGGTTTGTGGGTCGGATATAGGCTGGACCCAAAACTGCCAACAATATCAATAATGTCAATGTCACTTTATATCTATACGGTTATCACAAGATCACCATCTAAAATTTGTACCGTTTAAGATATTTTATTATCAATACTTTTTTTTTCATTTACGTACAAGAGTAGTTTAACTTTCCCCTGCTAGTATCTTAAAAAGGTGAACTCCATCATAACAAGGCAGTCACATACAAACATACTTTAACAAACACTATCAAATAATAATCATTTCATTCTCATTTGTATAACACTCAGTATGCCTCTATAAGATTCAATATTTATGATAATAAACAATGTTGAGTACGCATATCATTCCTACAATATACATGAAAATTCAATAGAATCATAAATCATGAGCATGTGGTGATATAAATATAACTAATAACAATAACAAGAAATCTATTTCCTCAAGAAGAAATAAGCTATTACTATAACATCAATATGAGTACTCACCTTGATATAAATTGATTTGTTCTTGGACTTGTCTTGATCTAGACTCTTCTAAAATTGATGCCTACAATAAACATGATATTCATACTGCTAAAATTTAATTTATTCATATAATTTTAATAAATTTTAACTTTATCTTATTTAAGTATTAATTTATATTATTTACTTTATGCAATCTTAATTAACTTAATTTTTTATTCCAAAAATATATTTAAAATTCCTTAACCAAATTACAATAAAAGCCCATACTTACCTTATCAGAGTTTTCTCGGATTAGTCTTCCAACTCCTTTAGCTCGCACACTTCAACTACTCCCCTTATATGCACTAAATCCTAATTAAATAAAAAATTTTATTAATATTAATACTCACAATATATATATATATATATAATAATAATAATAATAATAATTTTTAAATAACTTAATTAAAAATATTATAACTCACCTTTATCTTCAAAACCGCTAACACGCACACTACCCGCTGCAATTCATTTTGGCGCAATTTATCCAAAAGAGCTGCTTCTTCTCTTAGTTCTTCGCACGAAGCCTCACATACTTTATCTTCTTCCACTACTTCAACCTTGGGCAGAAGACCACAAGCGTACTCCGACTCAATTTTCCCACACAATGACTCCCACCTGCTCGTCAATGATTCTTCCTTTGGCTTCAATCACATACTTCATCATCGACGTTAAGCCTTAGCATCTCGCCTCCTCTGTTCTACGATCCAAGACATGATCGTACGTCAGACACCACCACCTTTGTCTATGGGAGAGATTATTGCGTGCGGATCAATTTGTCGGCGTCCGCAGCTTGCGTGCGGACGCCGATCCGCATGAAATAATTTTTCTGTCTATGGAGAAACCCTACCCCCTTCTAACTCAAAGTCAACATTTGTTGTGAAACTCCTCGATCTTGCCTCCGCCTTCCTTACTACGCATCAATTTATAGAACAAATCACCCTTTTTTGCATTCCCGACAGCTCACCTCATCCAACCTCTTTATTATCCCTAAAACAAGGTGTTATATATATATATATAGAACTACATTCAGTAGATAATGTGTCGGAAATATTATATTTTTACTGGATGACTGGTGATGACCGATTGATGAGGGCCGACCAAATATCACACTCTATACTTGGGAAAAAATTTGCGTATGTCAAGGGGTACGCAGAGATGCATACATAATAGGGTACGCGGGCGTTATATGGGGATTACATGGGGGTTACAAGCGTGTTATAACTTCCTTGTAACTTTCGTGTAACTCAACTGTAACCCGCGCTTTTATTTTATTCATTGAGATTACAAGGTTACAGCGGGATTACACGGAAGGTACAACGGGTCATAACCCCCTTGTAATCTTCGTATAAATCCCGGGTACCCTATTATGTACGCATCTCTGCGTACCCCTTGATGTACGCAAATTTTTTTTCCTATACTTGAGGGAGATCGAACCCCATATCAGAGGGGACTTACAGCTGACAAGCAGATACCCGACCCACTGATACGAGTATGCGGCGCAGGTGTTATAATATATATATATATATAAGA